GTATGTATGCATGCATGCATGCATGCATGCACGTATGTATGTATGTATGTATGTATGTATGTGTGTGTATGTGTGTATGCATGCATGCATGCATGCATGCATGCATGCATGCATGTATGTATGTATGTATGTACGTACGTACGTATGTATGTATTTATGTATATATAAACATTCATATCTCTTTAGACATAAGAGTAGTAGTACTAATACTTATAATAGTACGACGAATACCAATAACACTAGTATTATTACTAGTATTAATAATCATAATACAAATACTTTTTATTCGTGTAATCATAAGATACACACATATATCTATATATATGCATTATAACAACAAGAACCCCCCCCCCCCCAAAAAAAAAAACAAAAAAAAAAAAAACGAGCCCGCCCCGAGGCCCCCAAAACTCGGGGGAAGAGAAGGTGCCCATACCTCTACCCTCTCCTCGCTCTTCCCCCTCTTCAGGGCCTCCTGGGCCTGCCTCGCCGCCACCGCCGGCTTCGCCTCGAAGTCCTGGTCAGAGCGTTCCCCAGGAGAGGCCCGGAGGGTAGCGGTATCGGCACCTGGCGGTCTCCCCAATCACGTGCTCATCTCTTGGGGGCGCATCTGTTACTCCCGCCAGCGTCCGCCGGCCTTCCGCCGGCTTCCGCCGGCAGAGGCTGCCTCGTTGTTTGCTTCCGCCGACCTCTCGCCGCCTTCCGCCGCGGACGAGGCGACAACTCCTTCGCCCCTCGGAGGCAAGGCCCTCTTTGGGAGGCCTGGAAGTTGGCACCAGCACCAGCACCGGGGGTCTGCCTCCACATGGGGAGGCTGATCCTAGACTTCGGTGTTGGTGGTCATACCTCGGTCACCTTGGAAGCCAGGATCTCACCACCACCCCCGAGAGCGGGATCGGCTTCCCTCGGTGGCGGCACACCGCCGATCTCGGTGTTGGCGCCAACCTCTATCAGGAGAGGAAAAAACACACAGACACAATTAATCGTCGATTCCCAGGAAAATGTGGGAAAATATGGGAAGTGGTGGGGAAGACAAAAATCCAGAAAATATGAAAAAATATGGAGAATATTTTGATTTGTGTGTATTTATGTGTGTCCTGGGGCCCCTTCACTCTAGGCCTGCGACCTTTTGGACCGCCCCACCTCGACCTAGAGACGTTCGCGGAGGTCCGCGCGGGGCCCCTCGATCGGCCTCGGCGGCGGAGCCTCTGGACGGGGGGAGCCGGCAGGGGCGGGCGGCCCTCCGAGCAGTCTTCTGCGCCGTCACCGAAGGCACGGACAGCATCGTAGGCTCAAGTCGGGCCTGTCCCTCGATGCTTCGATTTGAGAGCAGTTCTATCTGAGCCGCCCCTGAAGTTCTTCGAAAGCTCTTGGATTTTTTTTTGGGGGGGGGGGCTAGATCCTTGCATTTCTAAGTGTTCTATCCTGGGCATCCTTCTTCCTGGCCGCTAGGGGGCCAGGATTAATTGGATACGAGCACAATCAGAAACGAGCATGATTAGAAATGAGCACATTCAGAAACAAGCGCAATATTTTAGACGTAAGTCGGGCCTGTCCCTCTAGAGGGGGATAATTCAAAAATTGTAAAAAATAGTCTGGGGACCATTTGTTGAATATTTGTTTGCGTGTCTTGCGTATTTTTGAATATTTGTTGGGGGATGTCTTATTTTTCCGTTCAACATCCCCCTGCAGGGGGCCATGCCCGACCTATTTCCAGGTTCAGATTTTAGAGCAGTTTTCTGAGGCCCCCCCTTTGGGACACAGAATATGTCTCAGAAGGTGCGAGGGCTTCGGAGAAGTCCCGCCGCCTTCTGAGAAGGCCTTCTCCGAATAGGAGGACACGCCCGACCTAACCTTAGAGGAGGGTGTGCAACTGCCTTCTTGCTTGAGTAAGATGGCCCCGAGGGGGGGCCCTGGTCGTCACGAAGCCGGTCCAAGGTGGACCAACATAGCCTTACGATGGGGGGGGCGCGGGTCGGACAGGGCCAGGACGAGGACAAAAGCGTTCTGGAACACTCAGAGCGTTCCAGGACGTTCTGAGAAGGCCGCGGCGCCCGAGACATTCGCCAGAGCCGGCGGATTCTCGATCTGCCTTCACCCGATGCTATCCTCGTTTTGGTTTCGTCTTATCAGGGGGGAGGGGGGAGGAGAATGGGCGGAATGAGGAGGAAGACGGGTCACAAGGGGGGAGAAGGGTGGATGATGAGGGAGGCGGAGGGAACATGCAGGAGGGAGGAAGCAAGGTGTTCGAGGGAGGCGGAGGGAATATGGAGGAGTGCAGGGTTTCTCCGAAGGGCTTAGGCGACCCGCCCTCCTCCTCCTCCTCCTCTTCCTCCTCCTCCTCCTCCTCCTCCTCCTCCTCCTCCCTCCTCCTCCTCCTTCCTCCTCCTCCTCCTCTCCTCCTCCTCTCCTCCTCCTCCTCCTCCTCCCCCCCTCCCTTGAGAAGACATTTCTCTCTATAACCTCGCCCTCCCTCAAACGCTCCAAAATTGGAAAAAAATTGGTTTTCGATTGCTTTCAGAAATCGCTAAAAATTGCGGTCGTGATTTCAAGTATGATTGATTTTTTATAATATTCATCATGCGCCTGGAGGCGCCCTTACAACGGCGCTAGCGGACATCACGCGCGTTGTCGTTGCGAGGTTTCTCGTCTCAGAGAGCGGCCGCGGCACACCCGCGCGGCACCATCGGGACAAACAACCGCAGGACAACCAAACGACGGCCGTCGGGACAACTGTACGGGACACCCGCGAGGCAACATCAGGACAAACAAGCACAATCATCGTAGCTTGCCTCAAGACACTAATTGGGGGCAGCCGCGAGAACAACCATCGGGACACCATCGGGACACCGTGAGAACAACCGTCGGGACGCCATCGGGACACAGTGGGGACGCCGTCAGGACAAGTAGGAATTCTTGACGCTTCGCGCATCCCCACCAGCCCATCCAGGAACGACGTCCAGGCGCTCTGAGGTGATCAGGACGTGCGCCCGCTCTTCCACAGGAAGAACGCTTTGGGCATCTTGAGTCCGATGCCTTTGAGGCCTGGAGGCCTCGGGCTCAAGATGCCCAAAGCGTTCTTCCAGTGGAAGTACGCTTTGGGCATCTTAAGTCCGAACGCTTTGGGCATCTTAAGTCCGATGCCCAAGAGGCTCCAATATGGCCTCAGAGGGCTCCAAGACGGCCCCAAGAGGGCCCGAAATTCTACTACCAGACGCCCCCTCCGCTGGTAATAGAACATGCTGCCCTCTTGGAGCCCTCTTGGGGCCTCTGAGGGCCCCTTGGGGCCCCATTGGAGCCCTCTCTGGCACCCGCGAAGCTCCAAGAGGGCCCCAAGAGGGCCCCAAGAGGGCTCCAAGACGGCCCCAAGAGGGCCCGATTTTCTATTACAAGACGCCACCCGCTGGTAGTCGAAAAAGGCGGCCCTCTTGGGGCCCTTCTTGGGGCATTATTGGGGCCTTCTTAAGGCCCTCTTGGGGCCCTCTTGTGCCCCCAAGAAGCTCCAAGAGGGCCCCGAGAGGGCCCCGCGAGGCCTCCAAGACGGCCCCGAGAGGGCCAGATTTTCTACTACCAGACGGCCCCCGCTGGTAATAGAACATGTTGCCCTCTTAGAGCCCCTTCGGGGCCCTCTCGGGGCTCTCTTGGGGCCCTCTTGTGCCCCCAAGAAGCTCCAAGATGGCCCCAAGATGCCCCCAAGAGGGCTCCAAGACGGCCCCAAGAGGGTCCGATTTTCGACTACCAGACGGTCCCCGCTGGTAATAGAAAATGCGGCCCTCTTGGAGCTCTCTGGGTCCTCTGGAGGGACCCCGAAAAGGTTCCCAGTGACATCCGAGGGGGTGGAGGGGGAGGTGGAGGGGGGGTGGAGGGGTGGAGGGGGAGGTGGAGGGGGAGGTGGAGGAGCGGTGGATGGGGGGAGGTGGGTGGGATGGTGGAGGGGGTGGTGGAGGGTGGTGGAGGAGGGGGGAGTGGAAGGGGGGAGGGGTTGGTGGAGGGGGGGGGGGCAGTCCCTGGGTGAGAGGGTATAGAGAGGGGGTTCTGGAAGAGGAAACGCCCTAGACCACCGACGCCCAGAGGGCTGATGGGATTCGAACAGCGTGCGTGCGATGTCCATTGCCGTTTTGTATCAAATGTCTTCGCATGCTGTCTTTCTGATCACTGTTATCGCTCGCTGAGCGCCTGATGCATGGAGAATGGATTTTTTGGACGCCTGGGCTGGCGAAGCTGAGTCCAGCGCGTCTGAGGGTGGCTCGGCGCTTTTCTGGTCGCCAGCGGGGCCGCCAGAGGAGGCGCCCGTGGAGGCCCCAGCGGCTGCGGAGGCCGTTGATCAGGCCGCCGCCCAGCAGGCGCCAGGGGCTGCGCCCGTGGAGGCTGTCGTCGACCTCTGGGCTGCGGAGGCCGATGATGAGGCCGCAGCCCCCGTCAACCCCGCGGTCAACAGGAGAAGACTCAGGAAGGTCTTCAAAGCAGCATTACGTGATGAATTGGTGTCTGTCTTGCCGCAGATTCGTCAAGCGCGTGCTCCTCCTGAGGTTCCAGATGCGCCAGCGCTGATGCTGCTTCCACCACCGCCTGATGACCCCATTGTGCCGCCCATTGAGGACATCCCTGCTATGGAGGACGTTGTGGCCGATGGCCCAGAGGCACTTGCTGGATTGGCCCTCGCACTCCCTGGAGGCGGCCCTGGCGACCACCATGTACTTGATATTGCGTCCTCGCCCGACACGGTTGTTCGATATGGGAGGTTTCTTGAAGCTACCGCGACATCATTCGGAGTCATGTGCAGAATATTGAGCTTGTTGGGTGAAGGCGCCAAGCATTACGCTCCTGCCGAGAGGGTTCATTCGCATCTTACCTCAGCGGACAACGTTCTTCTGACTTGCAAGACGCTGAACGAGCATGCCAGGCGAAGCGGCACAGAACGACGTCAATTCGCTAAGAAATCAATGTTGTGTGCTTCCGTGACTTGGGTTGGTTATCTTCACAGCATGCGTTGCTCCATACAGTCCATCATCGACAATGTGCAGGCTAAGTCGGGCATCCTTCAGACGTTCTTCGTGTTCTATCGCGAGGACGAGACTCCTCTCAAGATGACCGTCTCGGACACAGACTCCTTGTATGGCCTACCAGCAGCAATTGTCGATAAGGTTTGGTACCACTTCCAGGACGTCGCCGATGCGACCTCGGGCGTTGCCAAAATATTGCAAAGCGAGATCATCGTTGCTGTCACTGTGATGGTGTCGAACTCGATGAAGATATTCAGTTGGAAAGTGCCTTGTCCAGTTCAGAGCCTTGGTCGTACAACTGGTGAAACATATTTTCAGGCAGCAGCGCTGCGTGATGAAATGCTCGGCGTGGGCCCACTCGCAGCACAGTTCAGGAGACGACATCATTTTTTTTGCACGGATCGAGACGGCGCCCTGGCCAAGGCTCGGCGTGCGAAGCTTCACTCGGCCAGGCAGCAATATGAGGCGTTCACCGACACGATCACGGCATGCGGCGTTCACATCAAGAACACGTGCCGCGAGCAGTCCTTTCTCAATGAGGAGCCCGTGTCGAACCTCATTTATAAGTTCGTGCAGTCGTTGGCCTTCAGCAACCACAGAAGGGTTTTCAAGGCTGCGTTGAGATGCGTTCTGTTGGAGTTGCCTGTGGATGAGACCCAGCCGCCGCTGCTGGCCAGGAGTTCGAACTTAGCACGCATGACGCATATACTTCCAGATGCTCCTGATAATGATGTGCGAAAGACTGAGATATTGATGCATTTCCCAGGTGCTTGGGGCAGAGGCCACCTACGCTGGTACAAGTGGAGCGTGGAGAGCGAGGAAGAGACTCTATCACGATTGATCGGGCCTGCCACTCGGGCGCTGATCGGCTTAGGTCCAGGCGGATTTCCTGGGCGGAGTTGGACCAAATCTGAACAGGCACCTCGTTGGATAGCATTGTTGTCTATGATCGGAGTGCTCGAGGATGCGTACCGAGTCTTCTGCATCAAAATCGGAGATACAGCTCACGTACTTCCACTTGCTGACGCTGCCCCGCCCGATGCCGATCATGACCAACCGCCACCCATTGAAGATGATCAACCCGTCGCGGCTGGTGACGGCGACGTCGGCGTGCCGTCGCCCGTCGACGCGGCCCCCGACATCGAGGGAGCACCTGCACATGATCACATTCCGGAGCTTGGCCATGAGCAGCGCCGCGACGCCCGTGAGCTAGCAGAAGAACAGAGGAAGGAACAGCACAGATTCAGAGTAGCAGTTTTAGCATGGATCGAGCGTGGCACTGTCTTTCCCGATTGCTTCGCGTTTGCGGTTTCGCAGTTCCCCCATGTGAAAGCGATGTCGTCTAGCTTATGGATCGCTGGGAGGGAGTTTGAGAAGGCGCAGCGGAAGGCATCGGCACGGAGAGCACGCAGACGCGCTCGAGTTTCCGAGGGTGGGCCTGGTTTTGAGGGGGCTGGCGGCCCTGGTTTAGACGACAGCGAACGACAATTTCGACTTATTGTGTCTTATGATTGCACGGTCGAGCGCGAGTTCTCGAAGACCCTCTCCGAGCTGCGGGCGCCAGAACCTTGGGACCCATTGCAGATGCAGCATCGGAGTTTGACCAGGAGGAATCGGATATTTATCATGCTTTCCCGAGCTGGCGCCCTCAATCATAAGTGCATCGACGCCAAGCGGAATTATCCGTACAAAGGCGTTGCCATTGTGAAGTACCCAGGTCTAGCCGCAGAGATCAGCGCTGACGCAGCGTGCCAAAGACGGCTGGATCGGGGAACGAGGACATGGCTTGAACATTGGGGCGGCGATGTGTCTTCAGAGGAGGCTCGCTTAGACATGTTGCCCATCGCGCTCTTTGGCAGAGATGAAGCAGTCGGGATCGAGTGGGGGCACCAACGGATCCGTCGATTCGTGGTGTCGAGGGGCGTCCAAGCGAAGGCCGTGGACATGGTCGGCCTCAACGCGTGGTGGGTATTCGACGTCTTGCAGTTGGAGCGGCGCAGCTGGTGGACGTACCCTATGCCGATAGTCAGTGCTGACGGCGCCGACAAGGAGGAGGAGCAGGGGCAGGAGGGCACGACGGATCGGAAGCGAAAGCGCTCTGCTTGGAATGTGTTTCGGGCAGAGGACGGCGGCATATGGGGACTTCAATGCTAGCTCGGATACGGGCGCGTGCGCTGCCAGAGTGATTCGCGCGCGTGTTCGGCGGCAACTGCCACGTTGCTAGGCGTTTGTGTTGATGGATGTGATATTTGGTGCGGGGTTCGGGGGTTGGACGGCGCGCTCGCCGTCAGAGTCCGACAGGGGTGCCCAGGGGCCCTGGTTATGGCCCGAGCCCAGTCGCCAGTCGATTCACCCAGTCGGTTCAACAACGGCTCGCCTTACTGGAGAAAACGGCCCTGGTTATTGCACAGGGGCCGCACCCAATCGATTCAAAAACGCCCCGCCTTCCCTGAGGAAACGGCGTCACGTGAATCACTCTGCAGCGCGTCGCACTTGTCCGGTTATATTGTTGTCCCCATAGTCGCCAGGAGGTGACGGGCAAGACTGGCGAGGATGTGCCGACCACCGAGGCCATGTCCGTCAAGTACAGGACCTTGGACCTCGAGAAGCGCCGCCGTCTACACGTGGAGGCGGCAGAGGCTGACGACGCGGCAGCCGCGGGCAACCCCCGCCCTCTTGGGGGGCCCGCCTCGGCTGCACAGCGCCGCGTCCCTGCTGCAGCTGACGACCACGCCCATTGGGCAGGGCCTACTCGGCCGCTTGCTGTGCGAACGGCGATGCTGAACCCTGCCGATTGCAAGGCTTCAATCCAGAACCACAGGCGGGACAAGCGCAGGATGCTCTCCGATGCTGAGGTCGCTGATCGACGGGACGCGGACGCGTTCGAGCAGGATGAGCAGCAGAGTGGTGGCCCCATCGAGTCGACGATCGCCACGCTACCTGCTCTTGCCCACCCTCTCGATAGCAACCCGAGCATGTCTTGGAACGCCTCCGAGATTGGTGGTGCCATGCGCGTTGATCACTTGCGAGCTCGTTTTCAAGGCTGGGCTGACTTGATCAAGAAGGTAGTTACGTTGGACAGCCGCGGTGACCCTTGTCGGAACGCAGCGACTGCTTTCCACAGTGTGTTGCAAAAGTTGTTCAAGCAGTGGTGCTCTACAATTCAGCACAGGGCCATCGACGGGTTCGACAATGCTGCGAAGGGCCCTGATGCTACCAGCAAGGACTTCTTGTGTTGGCGTGCCAACCGCTGCATGTGCGGATCTATTGGGAAGATGTCGCTAAAGCTTCGCAACAACATTCACGCGAGCATGAAGAGGATGTATCGGACTAAGGCTGACAGGGCAGTTCTAGTTCGCAGCGAGGTGGTGATGCTTCTATGCGGTTGGGACGTCATCCGCGCTCCTGGCGGAGCGGTCTTGCCAGCGGACTTCGACACCAGGCCTTCCGACGCCAAGTGGTTTCACATCTGCTACGTCCTCCAGAAGCCATGGGAGGCTATGGCAGAAATAATTTCCAATGCTATTCCCACCACCCACCCCAAATTCCAGGTAGACGGGCTCCCATTATCCGAAACGGTTTTCTTTTGGTTATTGCTCCATTTCGTTGTTGGCCTCGCGGCCCCGACAAGCTCAAGGCAAATTTGCATCGGATTGGATTGGCATCCTTGGGCCAGCATGGCTACGGACGGTGACGACAACGTTGAGGGGCGAGGAGGAATGGTGGATGAGGAACGTGAATCTTTCCGCCGAATCTTGTCTGGTGCATGGTGCAGTCTAGGGCATGGGGACGCGTGCCAACAATGACAATTTAAAAGAAAAGGTTTTAAATTACGGGTGCACCGTTCTTGGGGTCCATTGGGGCCCTCTTGGGGGCTTATGTTGCCGTCTGTCTGTGGTCGCGGGGCCCCTTTTATGCTGTCTTGGGATATTTTGGCCGTCTGTGCGCCCTCTTGAAGCGATTGCGCTGCCGTCTTGAAGCCGCCTTTGTCCGTCGACGGGGGCGTTTATCACTACCGCGTCGACCGTCCTGACATTTGCGAGTACACCAGCTCTGCAATGCTATGCTTAGCGTGCTATGTCATGAGGTGGTGTTTTATGATACGCTTTGCTGGTCTCTGCTATGTTGTGCCATGCTATGATCTAGGGTCCCATCAAAAGCTCTCGGGAAGTCTCTTCTGGGCGCACCGGCAGCGGCCATCTTGAAACCAGGAAGGGTTTCTCTGGCGTTTTGGGTGTCTTGGGTGTCGCCCTCTGTGTCCTAAGCAGCAAATAACACATAGCAGCGCCCGCTCGTGAGTTGGGATGTTTCCGTCAATCTATAGCGCTTCGCGCGTCCATGTCCAGAGTTGGAGTTGCTTGAGGTCGAGGTTCTTCCCCGCCACCGCAACCCACGCAGCTAGGGGTGGGTTTTCTGGAGGTCCCCCTTCACCGCGGTAGACGCCAGGACCCCTGGGCCGACCACGTTCTGAAGGTCGGTCGGCCCAGCTGTTGGCCCAGGGGGCCCCTGTTGTCTACGCGGCAGGGGGGAGCTTAGGCGTTGATGGGGTGTCTCGTCGCCCGTGACTCACCGTGGTTTTGGGCCCGTTGGGCTCAAAGGTTCTCAAGCTTTCGGCCTTAGCAATGGCCATCCTGGATCCGTTATGTGACGCCCCTCGGGCTTTCAGGCACTCTCAGATATCTCTTCAGGTATGCCCGCTCGCCCAGCCGAAGCATGCGAGTTTGCCTATTGCGCTCCCAGGTTGTGTATCAGAGGCTTTATCCTACTCGCGATGGGATTTGGCCCGTCGCCGCCGTCGAAGATGGGATGGTGAATCTGGCTTCTCCGATTGGCGTCGTTGAGTTGTGCACCAAAGACGAGTTTTACACGGACTACGACCTGGTGACGTTTTGGTCCATGCCTTGTCATTGGATGGGGTCTTACTGGCAGCTGCGTTTCAGTGGAGGGTTCGTTGACATCATGGCGCCCAACCTTTGCGAGGTGGAGGTGGCGTCCAAGCAGTTGGTCCCTATCTTCAATCCTCGTCGCACTAGGTGCCGCCCCGGCACGCGCGAGTTTGCTTGGGCCGCGGAGGCGGAGGGCGAGCCCAGCGACGAGGGCGAGGACGCTGCCACAGGGCCTGGCAGTGATAAGGGCAGCGGCGGCGGGGAGTCCGAGGCCGCGTCGGACGCTCACGATCATTCCGATGACGGCGGCGGTTGGGACTCCGAGGAGGGCGGTGGCGATGGCCCTGACATTGAAAAGCCTTCTGGCGGCGACGCTGGTGGTCCACCTTCCAGTGCTGAGTCGATGTCTGCAGGTTCTTCCTCTTCGGAGTCCTCTTCGTCATCCACTGACTCCGATGATGGCGACGGCGGCGGCTCGAGCAGCAGCAGCGCCGTCGGGGCCAATCTTCTCGGGGCTTATCTATACAAGGTGGAGGTCCCAGGTTTGGGCTTCATCACGTACCATATGGACGATAACGAGGGCTACTTCACAGCATTTTGCAAGTGCAAGGCCCACAAAGGCGTTCTCCCCTGCAAGACGTCTCGCAGGGCCAATTCAGGATTCAAGCCGGGGCGGGGGAGGCCGCTCGGTTGGTTGACATGTTGGTTGGAACAGCTTCATGCAGATGAGCCGCCTGCCACGAGGGACGATCACGTCCACCCGACTGTGAAGTTCCGACCCGTTCAGGACGATCGGCAGGCAGCCAGGGACAGGCTGATGGCGTTCCCTGGGGCCTCCGACCTCGCCGCGATGGAGTTCGGCGGCCTCCACGCGATGCCGCTTGAGCCTGTGAACTTCAAGTGAGTTATGTAACTACTCGTTGCACGCTTTGTCTAAATAATTGTCTGTCCCCAGTTCATCCAGCGGCGATGGCCGCGAACCCCCGCCACCCCATCCAGAACCGTCGCGAGCCCCGCCAGCCCATCCAGAAGCGATTATATTCCATAGAGCTTGTTTGTGGCCCTCCTGGGGGCCTCTTGGATAGTAAGACTGCCCCGCGAAAGCTCCGAGACGGCTGCAACAGGGATCCAAGACAACACCAGGGAGCTCTAAACAAAAAAAACACGGCCCTTTGCCGAAAGCTCTCGGGGGTCATCTCTGGCCCTTTGGGAATTGTCTGGAGGCCCTCTTGGGGCCATCTTGGGGCTCCGAGAGGGCTCCAAGGGGGCCCGTGGCCTCGTGACCCCTCCCACCAAACGCAGGGGAAAGGGATTAGGGGGATTTGTCCATCCGCCCCGAAGGGAAGGAGAGGCAGGGGGGGAAGGAAGAGCTGCTCAAAATGCACAATGGGGCAGCAATGCCATGGTATTTCTGTGTTCAACATGGGTCTGTGCCCAGGGGGTGGCTGTTGCGGCATGAGTGTTTTTTTTCGCAAGGGCCGTCGGTGACCCTCCCGATCGGGCACCCTTTGAGGGGCGTGCCAAATCTTGTTGGGCGGCGGCGGCCTGATGGCTATCCCGCGGGAGGGGCCGATAACGAGGAAGAGGAGGAGGAGGAGGAGGGCAAGGAGGGAAGGATTAGGGGGTGGAAGACACCCAAGGAAGGGGGACGGAGGCGAACTTCGGGTGGTGGATGGGAGGGGGGAGGTGCAGTCTCCTACGCTATTGATCAGCGGCCACTGCCCCCCACACGATTGATCGGCCTCCTGCCCCAGAGGGTATTCTCCTTTCCCAAGTTAATGCCCCCCTCCCCCGTCGTTTATTCGCCCCCCTCCCCCTCCCCCACCTCTCCCCGTTGGGCTGAGTCCCAAGAGAGGCGGGGCAGCGGGGGGGGGTTCTGGAATTTCAGATGTTGATCGCGTTTGGATTTCGACTGCCGTGCCCTCCAGAGCTTCTGTGATCAAGCTTCCAGCTGAGATTTCAGATTTCGGACGTTCGGAGATTCAGTGCTGCGACGCTCGACACCATGGCCGCTCCTGCTGATGGCGCTGATGGCGCAGTCGACCAGGCGGCGGCGGCGGCGGGGCAGCAGGACGTCGACTACGACAACAAGGGCAAGCTTCTTGCGCCGTCCAGGCGCGCGCTCAAGGCCTTCGACCTCAAGACGGCCATCTGCTCCGCGACGAGAGACATGTACCAGTGCGAACAGGCTCATACTATTGAAAAGGTACCCTGAGTTCCCAGGTACTCCAGTCGACTGAAGGCGCCCCGTCGATTCACGGGGCGCCTTCCCTTCGACTGGATCGCCTGGGAACCGAGGTTTCCTTTTTAATGTCCCAGGTGAGCCACTACGACGTGTCGAGGGTGCTGAGTGCTCTCACCCAGGTGTGCACGAGGGAGCTGCAGGTGCGCCAGGTGGTGCAGATCCCAGGGCTCGTGAAGATCACTGCCGTCAAGCACGGCCCGACGCCCGCCCGCTCGCTCGTGGACAGCGTTTTGTTTTTTACTCGCCTCTCAACTCTCACCCCTTACCTCCCACCTCGCATCTCGCATCTCGCACCTCGAACCTTTGGACCTGTCGCCGTTCGCCTCCCACCTCGAACTCGAACCTCCCAAGTCTCATTCGTCGCCTTTCGCTTCGTCCTGACTTCGCATTCCTGACCTCGCCGCTCGCCCCTTCCTGACCTCGTCTGTCTCTCACTGATTCTGACGTCTTACCTCTAGCCTCCCGCCTCCCTAATCTCTACTCTCACAGGTGACCCCTCGCCCCCCGCGCCCCCGTCACCTCGCAGGGAAAGGGGTTGATGGGGCATGCCAGGTGCGCTCGCGCCACGTCTGACGTCTTACCCCATCGCTTCCATCAATTCCCATCTCGCCAACTCGACTTCTACTCTGACGTCATATCCCACCCTCCCATCCCTGCACATTGCGCTCATTATCACCCTACATATTCAAAACAACATCTTCAGATCAAGGGCCGCCGCGTGAGCATCGCCTCCCGCGACAAGCACCTGCTGTGCAAGGCGCAGCCGCACAAGGACATGAAGCGCATCGCCGAAGTGGACGCGCAGATCCCAGACGCGGAGGGCGACGATCCTGACCCGCAGGCCTCGCAGTCCGAGGGCGACAGCGACTCGTCGGAGTAAGCCATCGGCCGAGGAGCTAGACGCCGTGCCGACTGATGAGGAGGTGGCGGAAGATGATAAGGAGGAGTAGGAGGAGGGGTGCAGGAATATGAGGAGGAACAAGACGATTGTGATTCACAATCTCAGTCAGTTTTTTTTTTTGCGGTGGCCGCTGATAGGCCAGAGGATCCCAAGAGTTCGGAGTTGTAGAGCTGAACTCGACGCCCGAGGATCCGCCGAGAGTCGAGGCCCGAGTTGTGGCATTCGGTTTCGGAGAGTTTTTGTTAGGCGCCGCCAAGCTCGATAATCCGAGGCCCGAGGTCCGCCACGGGCCCACTCAGACGTGCCCTCGTCGCTGCAGACTTGGACCTGGACTTGGCGTGGCCGCCACGCTGCCGAGTGAAAGCTTGCCTGGACCTCCGTCTTCCGTCCCCCTTTGTTTGTCCCCCTCCCCCCTGGGAGTCGTTGTCGTCGTCGCCCCCCTCCTCCTCGGCCCGCCTCCTCATCCACCTCAGAGCTCACTTCCAGGTTGCGCCTTCATGCGTGAGATGCTCTTGTGGTCAGCGGTCTCGCGTCAGGAAGCCATTCAGGAAGCCATTCAGAAACGCTGGCGTCAACCGTTCAGAAACCATTCAGGTAACCATTCAGAATCGCTGGCTCCAACCGTTCAGGAAACCATTCAGAAACGTTGGCTTCGAAGATCTCGCCATGAGGTCCCAGAAGGAGCATCTGTGCATGCAGTGCACTGGAGAGTTTGAGGATGTCGCGCATTCGCAGAGAATTCCCCCATGCAAAGCCTTCGGCTGTTTTTCTGCCGCCAGACCCTGCGGGCGATCCGTGCGAGGGGTGAGCCGAAATAGGCGGAGTCTCAAGGCCTCGAGGGTTCGGGGTCCAGGCTGGGCCTCCCAGGGCCCCAGGGTTTCCCTTTGGGCTCAGGGTGTCTGTGGTTGCAGGGCCGACCGTCCGTGTGAGGGGTGAGTCGGGATGGGCGCTGGTTCCCATGGCCTCCCTCCTATGGGCCCGTTGGGGTTCAGGGTGTCTGGGAGGGCCCCGCGTGGCCCCGCGGGGCCTGCGGTGGCTTGAACTATGCCTTAGGGTATTCCCCGTCGGCGGGCCTATGGGCTCAACAACCGCCACAGTCGGCAGCCGTCTCAAATCATAAGTAAACTTATCCTCGCCCGCTTACCCGCCATCATCGGGCGCCCTCGGGCGCCCGCGGTGATATGTCATGGGGGGCATGTATGGTATGCACCCTTCCTCATGGAGGGCGCATCCCGTCGCATCAAGCCAAAGAAGTGCCAGCGTGATTCGGATAGTGGTAGCGGCCCTTCCGAGATATGCTTGAAGGGCCGCTACCTCACTGCCATTGGAGGGTCCCTTCCGTTGGAAGGGGCCCTCCCCAGGGGCCCTCGCCCATGGTCAGTGGCCTCTGTTGCATGCCCATAACCCCTAGGCCTCGCCCGCCGCCTGCCCCCGAGGCCTGCGCCAGCCGCCCGCCCCGAAGGTCAACGCCTGGTCGCCGCCGACCCCTCGCCGCTCGGCCGCGGGCGGGTTCCCCCTTAGGTGCTCTCGGGGCCTCCTCCTCCTACCTCGGGGCCCCTTTGGCGCTCTTGGCCCCCGCCCTTCAAGGCGCCCCCCCCATAGGCCTCCAGGGATCCCTGCAGGGCCCCGACCCGCGGCACAAGGAGGATGGGGCTCTCGCTTTGGTGCAGCGCACAAGCGGCGGTAATGCCGTCTCGCCCCTGGTAATTGCGTGGCCTCTGTTGCGCGCCCGGCCCTGGGGCCTCGCCGCCGCCTGCCCGCGAGGCCGACGCCAGCCGCCCGCCCCGCAGGTCAACGCCTGGTCGCCGCCGACCCCTCGCCGCTCGGCCGCGGGCGGGTTCCCCCTTAGGTGCTCTTGGGGCCTCCTCTTCCTACCTCGGGGCCCCTTTGGCGCTCTTGGCTCCCGCCCTTCAAGGCGCCTCCCCCATGGGCCTCCAGAGATCCCAGCAGGGCCCCGACCCGCGGCACAGGGGGGGGGAATGGCCCTGGAGGAGGAGGACGACGAGGGAGAATATGACGAGGACGGCGACGACGACGAGGACGACGGCGACGACGCGGCTTAGATTGCATTGTGTTGGTTGCGTCGCATACATTTCACCGCATAGATTGCAGAGCGTAGATGGCATTACATTGGTTGCATTGCATACGTTGCCTCTCACATACGGACTGCATATATTTCACTGCATATGTTGCATTGCATGCATGGCAGCCATATATATAACAACGCATAGGTTGCATTACACGCGTTGCATCGCATGCATTTCATCACGTGGATTGCAAAGGAAACCTTTCATGTCATAAGTTGCATCATATACATTGCATCACATACATTGCACATCATAGGCTGCGAGAGCGCAATGTTTGGCTTTATTTCCTTCCTTCCTCCTCCTCACCGTCCTCCCTCATCCCATCGCCGCCATCATCGCCGTCAGCACCCATCCGCTCCCATCACCGTCATCATCATCCTCCATATTATCGTTGTCACTTTCCAACACAGGCATCATCATCCATCCCGTACCCCCATTGTCATTACCATCATCACCATCAGCAACACCATCGTCGTCATCATCTTCATCATCGCGGCCGCCATCGTCGTCATCATCGTCTCCGTCATCGTCACAATCACCACCATCAGCTTCGGCACGCCCCTCACGCGTTTCGCGGGCCATTGGGGAGCTCCACCGAAGCCCCAGTGGCTGCGCCCGCATGCCCCCCCCCCCAAGCCCATGTGGGCACACCTGTGTCGGCACGCCCCTCGCGCGTTTCTCGCGCTGCCAGTCTTGCACCCCAGCTTGACAATGACGCGCGGCATCATGACGGCCGTGAACCACTTCTGCGGCAATTTGCCCATCGTGTGCGGCAGGCAGAGATTTGACGAGGCGGCCAGGTGCATCCGCCTCAAGCAATCGGAGCTCTTCAAGCCCCTCGAGAAGATTACGAAGTAGCAGAGGAAGTTCGACACGACCAAGAAGGGCCATGTAGTGTGTTCTTCGTGTCTAGTGACAATCTGGTCTTATGGTTAGATGTCGCTCGTGAATTAGGGTCGTAGCGCGCCTGGGTCACGGGGGACCAGGGTCTAATGGCAATTTCGACTTCGGTCTTGGAGTCCTACAGTTGTAGGGCTGCAGGGTCTTACTGTCTTGACCTGTGAGGGCACCCGTGTGTTAACGTACCAATATTGATTGCACCATGGTCTCAAGACAATAGGACCTCGTGGTTTTGTGTATCAGGGTCATTGCACCAATCGCAGTCGCAGCCCGATTGTACTCTATGGTGCGTCATGGTCTTCGGGCCTTCGGCATTCGTGTCTGTCTTAGCGTCTGCAAGTCTTGAGGTTCTGAGGCATCAGAGGGGTCCTGTCTCACGGCGTTCGCGGCGTAGAATGCTGGGGGCATCGGGTGCCCAGACCTCGTGGCCCCGCGGTGTCAGGGTGGCGGGTGGCAGGGCTTCATGACCTGAGGTTCTTCGGATGCTCGGGGCGTTTCAAGGGAATGCTGCTCTGGTTTGATGGTATTTGGTCAGTGTGCCGCGATGCCTATGCAAGCGCGGATGGACGTGGCAACCGCACTCACTCAGGAAGAGCTCCGCATCCCAACGCGCAGCTTCGGCAAGGCGGAACGGCGCCCAACGTGAGAAATCTGCGCGCGGGCAGGGCTCTCGCAACATCACATTGTGAGCAGCTCCTGGGAATGCCGCCGCATGACACCACGCATGTTCACCAACGCGTACATCTATATATGCATGTGTGTACATGTTTACATGCCCATACGCACATGCGTGCACGTGTGCATGCAGCGCGGCGCGGCGAGGGCGGGGGGACGCAGTGGTGGGCGGGGGGGGGGGGGGGAGGGCGGGGCGAAGGCGGCGGGGGCGGCGGTGAAGGTCGCGACGCGGCTCGTTGCGAGAATGCCAAGCATCGGACATGTCGGCGGTCAGCGCCAGCCCTTCTCCGCCGCGCAGTGCCGACGCCTCGGGGCCCCGCGCCTCGCGCCAGCAGGTGTCGCGATGTCGGGGCCACCCGCGGCGCATCCTTATCGACTGCGCTGGCCCGACGCGCGCCGCCCGCCCCCGCGCGGCGCGCTGGCGCGGCCTGCGCTCGACGGGGCGGACCGCGCTGACGCCGCGCCGCGCGCGAGGGCGGGGGGTCCGCGCCGTGGGGTGCTAGGCTCGGTCGGGGTCCGAGGTAGCGGCGGGGACGAACGCAAGCTTCCCGCGCTGAAGTCGTCGTGCCTGGGGGGCGGGGCGTGGCGGGGTGGGGCGGGCGCGTGGGTGGGGGGCGGGCTTGCGCCAAGTGCGCCTGCTCCAGTGCCGCGTCGACCG